TGAAACACTCCACGCCGAATGCACATAAGAGCGGCTTGCATTGCCTGCCACATGACAAGCCGTGTCCTCATTACGTGTGCCTCCACAGCGCAGGACAAAATCAAACAGATCTTCGCAGGGTGAGGGGCGTTCCAGAACCATGATGTACTGGTCAGGCTGGTCCTGCCAGTCCAGCAGTTCAATGATTTGAGGAACTTTGGGGTCCTTATTGACCAAGATTAATAGGCCGACCTCTAATGGAAGGGGTTCAGAATGTCCAGGCTAGAAGAAAGATAATTTTTTATGACTGTTAGATGAAGATGCTTTCTTAAATAAGGATTTAGTCCAGTCTTGGACAAACTGTTTACATGTTTTCCATTTAAAACTGTGAATAAACATAGAAAGCGCAATCAACTTACAATGTCAATGTATTCCATGTTACTTGGCTTTCTGGCAAATTTAACGGCCACCTGATGAACAAAATTAAAAATTAGTCACACTTAAATTTTAAACATTTCACTAAATAGTGGACATAGTATACACCGAGAGGACTTGAAATGGACAGAGTGAGAAAAAACTATTTGCTAGCTAAATATTATAAAATAACAATACCTCAAGGCCATCTTCCAAGCGTTTCCCCTCATAGACGGCACCAAATCCTCCTTGACCAAGCATTCTGCCGATTTCATAACGGCTCAAAATGTTCTGCTGACTTTCAGGAGGAAGGACTTTAAGTCCACTAGAAAGAGGCCCCTGAAGGCCATGGTCAATGTTCTGTTGAAGCTTGTGATCTAAAGCAGGAAACATTAACCAAAAACATGGTTAAACCACGATTCATTAAATATTACACACTCATATTATAATTTTTTTATTAGGTTTAGATTTGCAAAACAAGGATATTTTGTTAACCTTCAGTGCTTGCTCATGTAACAGCACAGCAGCCTGGTCCTTCTGACCTTGACCTGTGTTGCCCCTCCGGTCAAAGACAAGTAGAGAGGACACCTTCTCAGCATTATCTGTCCTCCTCTTCTTTCTCTCAGGCCTCTCGTCTTCCTCATCAAAGCTAACAGGCTGATGGTACTCCGCCGCACTTTTACTGCATTTTGAGAGTGCACTTCCACAGGAGTTGTACACCTGAGCACTGTGATAACTCAGTTTTCTCTTCTGGCTGGTGGTAACAGTTGTCCTCTCAGTTTCATATACATTGAAAGATTTTAACACATGTCCTGGAATAAATCCTTAATCAAACTAATCAACAGGATTTGGATATAATGCATAATAGTGTGCATTTTTACTTATGGTAATTAATTACACATCATCTTTTCATGAATAGAAAAGTTCCTGTAATTAAATCATTAAGACTTCATTAATGGATACCTATATTTAAGTTAAAAGGTTTTTGATGCACAGAGCAACCAGTTACACATTGTCCTAATATGTTTAGTTGATTTCCCATCAGCACTTCTCTCATACTGTTGCAGTAGCCTGGTCCTGCAATTGCTGACCCTGACTACTCTTCCTGCTCTTTCTCTCCTGACTGTCATTTCCCTCACTAACACTGGCGGGCTGATGATGCACACACAAAAGAAAAAACAGCAATCAGGGTTTTTGTCCACACAGAAGAGTTTTGAATTCAGATATCAAAACAAATTCATAAAAAATGAGTCAACATCTTTAAAACGTGAATATATCTTCAAAATCATTAGTAAATGGTTTTAGACTCTGTACCTTAAACCATCTGTGGAAAAGGATTTTCCCCAAGCCAATCCTCCGACTTGGGTCCTGCTGCAGGAGGCATCGAATCAGATGGCAGCATTCTGTGCAGATCAATGGGAGAGAGATGGGAAAGTCAGGTTATAACCTTGAACTGTGTAATAAGCTGTAAGACTTGACTGTCAGAAATTCTGGAAAATTCCTGCATTTTATAATGCAGAATCAGGGTTAATTTTTCTGCCTTTTTCTTTATGTTTTCCATGATGTAAATTACAATTGGTTTTCTTGGTTTTAATGTTTGCTATCTCATCCTTTGACAAGCCAGGCTCAAGCCAGATGTCGTCTTCAATCATCTGCAGGTCGTTGGGCTCTGGAAAGCGTCCACACACCATTGTGAATAAGAGCACTCCCAGCGACCATACAGTAGTAGGTTTCCCGTGGTACCTGCCCTCCATGTCATACTTAGGGGGGAAGTACTCTTCTGTCCCTGAAGGAAAGACATTGGGCCTGATGGATAAGCTTGAAATACTACCACATATTATACATAAGCATGCAAAAAAAACTGATTAAAAACAGTGGGAAAGAGTTGGAATCCTAAACTACAGGTTTGATGCATACTAATATACATACCATAGAAGATGTCATAGCCAGATTCACTCAGCAGATCCCCGCACCCGAAGTCAATCAGTTTGACTTTAAGGGATTCTGGATTGATCAGCAGGTTGTCCAGCTTGATGTCACGGTGAAACACTCCACGGAGAATGCACATGTGAGCAGCGCGCGTTGCCTGCACCATTATAAACCGCGCTATGTTCTCCTTGATGCTCCATAAAGTCCACCAGATCTTCGCAGGGTGAGGAGTGTTCCAACACCATCACTTACTGGTCAAGCTGGTCCTGCCAGTCCAGAAGTCGAATGAACTCTGGCACTTCGGAGCCCTTATTAGCGAGGATTAATAAACCGACCTCTAACGGAAGGGGTGCAGGATGACCAGGCTAGAAGAAAGATCATTTGTATGACTGTTAGATGGACGTGCTTTCGAAAATAAGGATTTAGCCCAGTCTTGGACTAAATGTTTTAAAATGTTAAACTGAAAAAACAGCGATCATAGCTTGCTTACAATGTCGATGTATTCCATCGTCCTCGGCTTTCTGGCAATTTTCACTGCCACCTGATCAATGAAAAAAAAATGTCACAATAACATTTTAAACACGTCAAGTTCACATTGTGAGATAAAAGTTATCCATTATTATTATCATTAATAATAAGCAATTAACAATTATTTATTAGTGGGATAAAACAATTTGCTAACCAAATATTGTAAGAAAAAATAATGATACCTCAAGACCTTCTTCCAAGCGTCTCCCTTCATAGACGGTGCCATCTCCCCTCACCAATCATTCTACTACCGATATCATACCGGCTCAAAATGTCGTCTATTAAAAGTGAAATAGTTAACATTTAATGTCGTGCACTGACAGTCAAATATAAGTAATATTTGAATATGTGTAATATCTGAAGTTATGGGAGTAAGCTCACCCTCAACTGTCAAGTCCACAAGTACACCGTTATCATCTGAAGCTGGACTGCCATAGACCTGATTAGACCCCTGTGAATAGACTAGAGAATAGTTTATTTATGAAATTATGATGTATCATTATTTATGATACAGTTTTAAAATTATAGGTTGCCAACTTAAAATATGCTGATGTGCAGTTATATATCATATCAATTGACCTAAACCCCAAAGTTTAAAGAAAAATGAATGAGGGTTTGAAGCGCACATTTTACTCTGCTGCCACCTATTGATGAACCATGGCAGGAAATTCTTGATCTTTTCTTTTTTTTAAATCTGAAAGTGAAAATGTATGCGACTAAAATGATACGGTGACCGAGAAGTGCGAAGCAAATCACAATTCTGAAAACAAAATAACAAATTACAAACGCAAATGCAAGTCTAAAAAACAAAATAACAATTCAGAAAGCACAACAACAATTCAGAAAACATTATAACAAGTCAGAAAACACAATGACAAATTCGAAAACAAAATAACAAGTCAGAAAACACAAAGACAAATCCGAAAACAAATTAACAAATCAGAAAACACAACGACAAATCAGACAAACCAGAAAAGGTAGGTATAGTTTGAGACAACTGGACGAGACATCTGTCAATCAACGTATACAGGGAAGAACCAGCCGAAGAAAAGCAGAGTCGTGGTAGAAAGTTCGGAGATGGTATTAAAGTAGCTCAGTTTAAAAGTATTGTATGAATTGCCTTTACTCTGGAATAAAGTAATTTGTTATTTTGTTTTCAGAATTGTGATTTGCTCCGCACTTCTCGGCCACCGTAAAATGAACATATTTTGTTTGACATTCCATATTAATATTAATATTGTTTTAATGTTGTTTTGTTGATAAATATATGTTAGGCTTCATAAATTTAGACTGTTTTGACTGGCATTAAGTTATAGCCTAAGTTCAAAGGAGTTTAAATCAGTCATTTCAAAATAATTTCAAACTATACATAATCTTATATTTCAGGTTAAACATAGCCTATTGGCAAATTCATTGGGCTGTAGGTTTTAATAACTTTAGTCAGTTATTTCCCAACAATCGTCTGATTTAGCTTACGTGATAAAAGAATAGTGACTTCGTTCGGATGAGAAGAGTTCACCAGAATGACAGAGGAAGCATACAAATAATTGCACAGCAGTGACTAAATTGATATGATGCGATATTAAATTTCAAATAATGGGTCAGTGGACTGTTTTTGTACTGCTGACTCACGGTGATGATATCATCCAAAACACTGACTGCATTTATGGACGTTGCAGTGTGACATAAAATGTAAAGATGACATCATAGTTCAGCCACCCCAGCGCACTGGCCGCTCATTGGCTCGAATGCTTGATTGATGTATAATGCGGCCAATCAGAAGCCAAATTACGAAAGCTCATATCACAAATAAAGGCAAATGTAAAAAACGTATGTTTGATGTGCATAGTGGGCGTTTTCAAACTCAGCCAAGCTACGATGTGCATGACTTGCAGCCTGTGGCGTCCGGCTATTTTATGGAAACAAAATGAAGAATGCAGTGCAGAATCGCAATAGTGCAGAATCACACTGGCACGCGTTGGAGCATTTACTGCGCATGCTCGACGCGCAATGTCCAGCCTTGCCAAGACCTGCCCCTATTCTTCACCAATGAACGGGCAAATTTATAAGCGGCATAAGCGTTTCACTATGGCTGAGACGGACGGTGACAGCTTGCGAACGAGATGTTGTTGACAAAACACTGAAGATCTGCTAAATGCAAGGCTGGTGCCCAAACGAGAAAGTCTTTTCTTCGATCCTGCTAAAATCCGGTAACGTTACAGTGCCATCATATCCTAGGGCAGCCGCATGGGCCCGGCTACGTGCATGCGTCCCCGGTTGCAGGTGCATGACACTTTATTATAATATCGCATGTCTAATAGAAAATAATAACCAGCTAAGTCAGCAAAACGGTATTCGCTTTGAAATTAATAAAGGTGAAAAGCAAATTGCATTTAGAGCAAGCCCTTTAGCGGGCATGTCATTTCAGCAACAATCCGCAATGGATCCTGTCTGTAGCCAGGCTTCACAGATGGTGCGGACACACCGCATTTTCTTCTAACCATTAGAATTATTGTGCTGTATTCTATGTTTATTTAAAGAGGTTTCAGTAAAATGTGTCTAAAAGACATTAAAGCTGCATCTCTCCATATCGATAGCGCAATTTTACTAGTCTTACTGTCGCCATTTATTGAGCTTCAAGTGATTTATAAACCCATGCCTATGAAGGTGTAATGAGACGTTGCTTATTTTTAAACCATATTTAACCTTTTTTGCAGGTGGTTTGTTTGTAAAAGCCGTTGGGAGTGAAGCTACCGGCTACAGCTACAGATATTGGAGAGGACAGATCTGCTTATCAGAGCTGCTGGCGATAACGCGCGACCTTTCTGGAGTGCAGGCTGATTTAAGGACCGCGCGAGCGACCGGAAAATGAACCATGGCAACCGCATCTCTCGGGAAAGAGCTCGAGCGCACTTTTCATCATTTGCGTTCATTTGCCCTTTTTGGAGAATATTTAATCGGGTAGTTTTATGTGGTTTACAGCATTTTCTCAGTTATTGAGCTGTTTTTGTAAGTGATTGTTTGTAGTGCATCTGACGCGGGATATGGATATTTGGACTTGGTTGCGTTAAGTGATCCGCTGCCTGCCTGTCCATCATAATGGATCAAGATGATAACCAAGAAACATATGAACCCCCTCTGCATGCCCTTTACGGGCCTAACCGGATCCGGCCGTCGTCGTACCGGGCTCTGCGAAGTGCCGTGTCCAGCCTGGCACGAATTGACGATTTTTTCTGTGAAAAAATCGGTTCCGGGTTCTTCTCAGAAGTCTTTAAGGTAACTTTGCCTCTTTTTATATCTACAAACGATAATCCACGGTCCTAGGCTTATTACAGTGGTCATGCTTTTTCTGATAGATGATTGGTTGCACCTTCTGATGATTTGCACTTTAAATGACTTGTCAAGTTAAGGATGGAAGCAGTAAGGGAGTTTGCATGATTTGAACAGTCCATGGATTTCATAAAATACTATTAATTATCAGCAGCGACAAAATTCAGGCCGCTAGTGAAATGAATTCACAATGACATTGACTGTGAGATGAGAGATGAGCCTCTAATAAAATTCAACCTTAAACTAAAGTTTATAGTGGAAACTGATTATCGGTAATCAGTTTGATCAATATGTGTGTGTGCATGACGAGTGTGTGTGTAAAAAAGATATTCACACTAATCAACTTTATTTTTTATTTATTTTATTTTAATTTTGTGTCTACCAATAAATGGCACTACTGTCAAATTTTTCACCAGCAATTGTTACTTTAAAGAGCCATTTCTACCTGATAAAACGTAGCTGTGTTGGTATAAATGTTGGTATAAATTAATTTATTTAGGTTGATTCAGTGATGTTAATGATTAATGATTAATGAAAACCAGTTAACATGTTACCATTTTTGTAAAAAAAATTTCATTGAAGAATAGCAGTGCTGTTAAAAAAATGACCTGTATTGTTTAATAATATCTCAACGCCATAAAAACAGATTATAATATTAAAAATAATTCATAATGAATATTACGTTTTTTTAATTATCATTTCAATATTGTGTCAAAAAAAGAAATTGGTTCTGAATATTGTTCATAAAGAAATTGTTTAAAACAACTTGTAAGCATACACTGGAATTTGAATGCCTGTGTAGTTTAATAAAATGACACATCCTAAAGTCTCACAGTCTCGGTCATCTTGTATAGTATATAATACAACAGAGTCATATGTGTCCATGCTAAGAGCAACGGTGTCTGTGATTAATGATAAGACAGGTTGGTTGTACTCGACAGTATAATCAGATTACCAACCTTCCCTAATCTGTCTGCCTCTTCACAGAGGGGTATGTGTGTGCTTATTGGCCCATGCCTCTGTCGACTCTGCCTCAAGTGCAAGTAAAAAATATCAGTCTATTGCTTTCGTTTGAAAGTTTGTCCACTAGTATTGTCCCATATTTAATAATAGACACTCCTTTCATACTTTTTAAGAACATTGTGGACCACGATGTAAATTTAGTTTCTCTTATTCATTCCTGCTTTTTTGTGTGTGGAGCAGTCATTAGCTGTCATAGTAGCTGTCATTCTTCATTAGTGGTTATAGTAAAGTCAGAATTACAAATAATTTTCAGTACTACAACTACAGTAATGTGAGCATACATTTTAAACTATTATTTACTAACTAAAGAGGTCTAATTTCTAATGCATGGCTTTTATTGGTATCTATAAATAAAGAAAAACAGAGCTGTTATGGCACATTTTTGAATATTTATATTTTTGCTATACAGTAGGCCTAGACAACTACATAATTTTGCAGAAAGCTGTGCATGTAACTTTTGAAAAATTGAATGTTTAATGAAAGTGGTGTGTGTTTGTGCCACCTCAAGAAAACTGTCATTTGTCTTTTATTTTCCTTTTTAGAAGTCAACATTTATTAAAATTTGGTGTCATAGCAAAAAAGTGTAATAAAAGAATTATGTCTAAATGACAAATGACTCTGTAAGGGACAGTATGAAATATGAATGTATTACTGACATGCGGTTCACAAATAGTTATAAATTAAAGTCAGTCCGATATCTGATTTATAGATATGGGATGATGTATGTTGTGGTGTTTGGTGATGGTAGTGGGTGATGCCCATGTTTTGTATGTGACGTTGTTGTGATGATGTCCTGGATTCCCGCTGGTTAGGTGGGATGATGGGAAATCCAGAAAGCCTATTAGTGCCCTAATGGCTATTAATACTTAGCATACTCTACTGGATCTTTCTCCAACTCTCTCTACCTCATAAACACACAAAGCCATACTTAATTCAAACTTAAATACACTAATGCACTAAAAGCTGATCCATCTTCTCAATCCTCCACTAGATTCTCTATCATCTACTCCACTACTAGCCTCACATTTAATGACAAATCAGTCTAATGCATGTTGCAGAGTAATTCTGCCTAGTAGGGCCAGAAAAAGCTTTAGATACAGCTTTAGATACTCTTGTGCAGATGTACATAGATTTTATCCTGAATGAGAGCAAGTCATTTACACGACTGAATGGCCTGAGCCATCAAGCACATACTCTGCTGTGCTGACCAGATGTGGAGTTTTAGGCACTCCGGCATAGTGTACAATGGAAATATTTTGGAAAGTGATACCATTAAGGATCTTGACTTTATATATAGCCTAACATTAAAAATGTAAATAAAAAACTAAGATGATTCTCTTTTCAGAGAATGTGTCTTGAAAACAAGTGTATTTTTTTTTGTCTGTTGATGTATTTTTCACTTAGTAATAAATCTTACTAAAAGTATTATTTTATGTCCATTTTTGTTATGTATTCATGATTTTATATGAGAATATGTACAAGTTATCGGAGATGATAAGCACCCTACAGTTTCTTTACAGAAGCTTGATAATAATATATATATATAATTATTTCTGTCATAACAACTCTCTGAGAGTTTAGCATAGTAATATACATGAGAATGTTAATGTATTTGGTCTTGGCGGAATAGATCTGCTACACTGCTGCTGCAGCAGAGCAAGTACCGAGACTTGCTAATGCCAATACATCCACAGACATGCTGCTGTGAGCATGTAGGAAATACTGCTGCTGCACATATAACATATATGAAAAAAAAAAACATATATAACATGCATGAAATCACCCTGTAGCAGATGTATACAGGTGCAGCTGGGAAAAGTGGAGGGTGCTGCAACTGCTACAACAAGCACTATAGCCAAGATTTAAAGGTTGAGCAGCAAGCTCAGGCCTTTGACCAAAAATACTGATTTTAAATGGTCAGAGATGCCCAAACCTTTTACTACATTGGGCCAAAAATCTAATTTGATTAAGGGCCAGAGGCCAAAAGTAAATGTTCAATCACATAAATAATATTGCACTTAAATGTGTCATACTGTGTATCCTACAGTAAAACACAGGCTCACTTTTATTATGCTGCTTTAATTTGTTCTAAATAACAAACACATTCACATAAGTTTAAAAGTACAAAATTTGTTCCTGTGCATATGAATTCTTTGAACTACAGTGCTTTTCTTAGAATATCTGCTGATACAACAGTCAGATCTTGCCCATTGGCAAGGCAAGGTTGATTGCTACTCTCAAAAATGTGCTTTGATACAGTATGTTCACCTGTAGAAGTCTATGGTTAAAGCTCCACTTAGCATTCAAAAGCTGCAAATGCATTTGCTGAAGAAATGACTGCGGTACCCGTGGTGGTAAAATACTTATTCTGGTTGAGTACCATCTGTAGCATGGTTTGCCAAATCGAAAGGGCAAATGGTCATGGGCTTGTTTGGGCATCTTTGGTCTATTACATGTATCATACAACGATTTCTTTTTAGTAGTGTCACTGAATAAGTGTGTGTGTATTCTGCAGGTGCAGCACAGGATCACAGGGCAGGTGATGGCTCTGAAGATGAACACACTGGCCAGCAACAAAGCCAACATGCTGAGAGAGGTGCAACTCATGAACCGCCTTTGCCACCCCAACATCCTCAGGTGTGAGATTTAGCATAGTTCCTTTTTGTACATAAAACAGGGAATACTTCTCACTGTATCCACTGAATGATATAAAATACTACAGTGCAATGGCATAAATAATATTTTCTTGAGTTGTGTATTTGTAGGGTCTGACTTGATAAAAATGAGATTGTATGTATCCTGTTGGAAAATAATCCCAGGTTGAAGGTGCATATTCACAAAAGGAATCCAAAAATATAGAAAATAAATAGTTGTTCTCACCTTCATTAGGTTTTTGGGGGTGTGTGTTCATGAAGGACAGCTTCATGCTCTTACAGAGGTAAGACATTGCATAGAAATCCAGACTTCAGGAGTAAATGGACTGTCTGGTTGATATGATAATAACTGTAATGTCACTGTTTACAGTACATAAATGGGGGCAACCTGGAGCAGCTGCTGGACAGTGACATATATCTGTCATGGAGCGTGAGAATAGGTCTGTCTCTGGACATTGCAAGAGGGCTGCAGTATCTACACAGCAAGGGCATTTTCCACCGAGATCTTACATCAAAGGTACAGACACAATGACAGTCATGTATGGTTTATTGTGCCAGCAGCTGCCTATTCATTTTGTGCTTGCTGCACGCTGGTGTTATGGGACAAAAAGAGAGTTGTGGTGATGTCGTATTTTTGTAGGCCAACCATCAACCAGGTTTTCTTGACAAAATGGGATTTTTTTTATGGGCTTTTCGATTAGTGCAGAAAATAAGCTGTGATTAGCAAAAGTTCATGATTCTTACATGTTTTGTTAATCATGATAATATTCACAAAGGAACACAAATTTGATGAATTTTGAAGTCTAAATAAAATCTCCAGAAGAAAAAAGTGAACAAACAACACCCTGGTTGCATGACTTTAACATCACCAACATTAAGCTTCTTATAACTATATCAGTCTTCATTTAAAAAACATTTACCTGAAAATTTGAGTTGGAATTGTTTGCAAGATTGTGATTATAAACACAATGAGGCTGTAAAAGTAAACTAGTGAGTAGATGAGTTTAGTTGGTCGGCGTGATGAGGTTAAATTTCCTCAACAACCAATGTAGTTCCATTTAGCCACTTGTTAGCAAGACAAGTAAAAGCTTTATAAAAAAAAACACAAGGGTGTATTACTGATGTATTTTGTCATAGAATAAAACTTTAAAATATCTTGAGTTTGTGTTTACCACAGACCTTATTTTAGGCATTTAACCAAGAACCTATTAAAAAAAACCATTGACTTCAGGATGATGGAAACAGACGTGCTAACATGCTAACTCGTTTTGGGTTTTGGCCTACAAAAATACGTCATCAATGCGTATTCTATGAATAAGGCTATAAGGTTTAGAACATGGAAATACTCTAACATTATATCCTATGAAATACCCTGACTGTACTACTGTACTATACAGAACTGTCTGGTCCGTTGTGACAATGCTGCTTTTACCGCTGTGGTGGGGGACTTTGGGCTGGCAGAGAAAATCCCTGATTACAGGTCAGTACATCTCTCCTTTTTACTCACAAATACAGCTTTTTGACACACATTTGATGATGACATTTTAAATGGATCAGTACTTCAAGTATGATGGCTATCCAAGAAGGCTATATTCCAAACATAGGCCAAAATATTGATTTAAATAACCTATGCTTTGTCTTGCTTGTCTACAGTGATGGTGTTGAAAAGCAGCCTTTGGCTGTTGTGGGCTCCCCCTACTGGATGGCTCCAGAAATGTTAAGAGGAGAGCTGTACAATGAGAAGGTATCTTGTCTTTGAACACTAACAAATCAACATCCAACTGTATTTGTGTGCTTCTGTAACTTTATTCATCTCATTTTCATACCATAGGTGGATGTTTTTGCATATGGAATAATCCTTTGTGAGATTATTGCTCGAATTGAGGCTGACCCAGATATCCTCCCACGAACAGAGGTACATCAACTGCACAGTGCACACCACCACATGAAGCATAGAATCAACCACAGAATCATGTAACTGGTTTACCAGACATAGATCAAGCTTTAAAGTTATTATGGGTTATGAAAGCTTCTTATTTTGGTTTTGGGAGTCCCCAACAACAGGTTGACATGCATGCAACGTCAAAAAACACTTTCATTGTCTTATAATATGCATTTATTTTTACCTTACTTGCTCAAGGACTCCCAAACGATTCACTCAACGATTCATTTTTCTAAACCCCTCCTTTGCGTGACGCTAATCTGCGGTGATTGGTCAGTTGGTCTTAGTTTCATTTCATCATGCCTGTAATGCTGATAAAGCAGCGTTTACAGAGTGCTGCTTTGTTTACAGCCGTTACTGGGGAAAAAAGCTATTTTTACCGCTCCAAATGAGGCACCTAGTGGCAAAGAATGAATTTGCATTTTCTTTCAGACCAAGGGGAAAAGACCAACAAGTGGGCGGGCAATATGCTAATGTTTCATGTTGACGTTAACATGAAAATGAAACGGCTTGGGATTCGTTTTAAAAACGACTCGTTTCAATGATTCAGAGTTGACTCTTTCTTTTGAGAGACAATAACTTTATACACGGTGCACTTTCAGATTTAAAACTTTGCAGGATGTTTTCATTCAGTTAGAGCTGTATTACACATTGCATGAAAGGTAATGTTCAAAAATCCATAATAGGGGCACTTAAAAAAAAAAAAAAGTTAAAATTACTTTAATAGCTAATAATTAATAGCTAAATTTAATCTAGGACAAGCCTTAGCCTATGTTTATATTTTATATGTTTGGGTAATGATATCTGAAATGTTGATATTCTGCAATTGTATTAAAACTCAAAATGTATCTTGTCATACTAAAATGTAATCAAATGAATGCAAAAATAATTAGATTGTTTTATTTGCTCCCATGTTTATTTCTAAATATGATGTGTGCATATGCGTAACCATATAGTGTATCCAGATCCATTCTAAGAATTCACTGATGTTAAATTTTTCAGGATCACTGCAGTTTAGACTTTGATATCAATGTTTACTTTTTAGAGTGATGTCTCCCTCTGCTGGTGAAGCAGCATGATGGAGTATATTTCCATAAAAATAGGTTTTTCATATTAATGTTTTTTTTTTGTTTTTTTTTTAGAAAGCAACACAGTGTTAATTATTGCAAACCTCAAGATTAATCTCAAATTTGCATGTGAAGATGCCTGAACAGAGCAGTAAGTGTGTAATATCATCTGTCTGTTTGTCTGTAGGATTTTGGACTGGATGTGGACGCCTTTGAGCAAATGGTGGAAGACTGTCCACCTTCATTCCTTCGTCTGGCAGTAAATTGCTGCAATGTAAGCCACATACGCACATATACACTCAGAAATTCAGTAACACAGAGTACAGTACTTTATGAAACTGTACATGTCATGCTCTCAGTTGTTTTTAATTTGTTATGCTCTTTCTGTGGTAGATGAGTGCAGATAGTCGTCCTGCCTTTTCTGAAATAGTAGTGACACTTGAGAGGCTAGAGAGAGAGAGGAAGATGAGTGAAGCTCCAGTCATCCTAGGTAAGTATGTTACAGATAACACAGGCAGGGGTTAAAAGCACTAAATCAGTGTAATACATTAATTTAATAATATTGAATAAAAGATAAATTAATGATATATACACTATTGTTAAAAAGTTTGGGGCCAGTAAGATTTTTTAAAAGAAATAATCCTTTTATTCACCAAGGATACATTAAATGTATCAAAAGTGATAGTAAAGGCTTTTAAATAGTTTCAAAACATGTCTACTTCAAATAAAATGTAAAAAATTATATTAGGTTACACAACTGTTTTCAACACTGATAATAATAATATGATGAAGAAATGTTTCTTGAGCACCAAATCACCATAACATGACTATTTCTGAAGGATCTTGTGACACTGAAGACTGGAGTAATGGCTGCTGAAAATTCAGCGTTGCCATCACAGAAATAAATTACATTTTAAAATATATTTAAATATAATTTTTTTTGTAAATTGTAATAATATTTTACAATTTGATTTTTATTTTTTTTAAATAAATGCAGCCTTGATGAACATAAGTGACTTTAAAAAAAAAAAATCTTACTAACCCCAATCTTTTGAAAGGTATTGTATATCACATGTTAATTTAAATATATTTTACCAGTTAGCAGCTTATTCATTCAGATCTCAAAATTAAAGATTCAAAATATTTACCCATCTTTAAAATCACTCTTTTTACAAGAAATAATTTTGCAGTTTTATCAGTCCTCTGACAACCAATCCTTGTTGTGGTTTCCTCAGAACCCATTGCTATTGTCAGTCCATATAGGAGGAGAAGCTCGCCATGCCATCCTGGTGACCAGCGCCTGTCCCGTAGTCAATCAGACGTATTGCCCCCTGCCACTTCACCGTGTTTAGGCACGCCTGCACGGGTCAACCCATTCTCTCTTCGCCAAGACCTCAACGGTGGTCGAATCAAGCTGTTCGACACCCCTAGCAAATCTGTCATCTCTCTTACCTTTACCCTTCCACCACCTCCAGACCCCTGTGCCTCCCCACCACTAAACGGGAGCCCGGGGCTCCGAGGTCCCCCTCGAAGGTGTCACTCCCTGCCGTGCACCCCCGAGCTGGGACGACAGCTACCCTTCCGGGACCAAGAGGAGGAGAGGACTGAAGAACTGAGAGATGGAATGAAAGAGAACGAGGCAGAAGGACGGCAAGACGCGGTGGAGGACTCAGGTCTGGTTCTGGACTTAGATATGGTGTCTTTAGAACGGGTAGAAGAGGAAGAGGAGGATGAAGAGGTGGAGAAGGAGGGACTGAGCCTCACAGAGCCCATGGACTGTAGCAGCTCGCCCGACACGGCAGAAGGAAACGTGTCAGGGAAGCGGCTTATCAGCGGTTCTTCTTATTCCTCGTCCTTGCAGTCCAATGGTTGGGCTACACCCATTTCTAATGGACCACCGTTATTACCTCCCCTTCCCCGTTTGGACAATAACAATGGACTGCTGAGGCCTGGGCGGCTGATGGCATGGGCAAGACTGAACGGTTACCGAGGCCCCGCTCCGGAGCCTTTACCGCCCACTAATGAACAAGACGATGTGATTTCTTGTCCAGCCTGCTGTCTGGCTGGGTTCAGCTTCCCTTCTGTGTGCCTGCGTGGAGCTCCTCCCTCGCGCCGTGGACCTCCGCGACGACCGTACAGGAACTTCAACGGAGGGGAAGCATCCGCAGCCACAGCAAAGGGACTGCTCTGTCGGGGAGCAACGGGTCTGGCTCCATCCACAGCTACTTGTGAGCCAGGGTTACCCCTACCGGAGGCCCAAACCTAAAGATGACCACTGCCACATCTCAGAAACTGCAATGCCACACAGTCAGGCCACAAGTCTGATGTCAGAATGGTTATCTGAGGGGATGCAGTGCGGGTTGAAACATTGAATTAAAGGGATAGTTCAACCAAAAATGAAAATTCTGTCATTTGCTCACCCTGATGTTGTTCCAAACCTGTATGACTTACTTTATTCTGGGAAATACAAACAATGTTTTGAAAAATGCCACACTGTTTTTTGTCTGTACGGTGAAAGTCGGTGTTATTTCATTGTATGGATGCTTAAAACATTCTTCTCTCTATTTTACAGAATAAAGAAAGTCATACATTTTGACATGAGGGTGAGTAAATAATGACAGAATTTTTGGGGATTACACAATATATAAAAAATTAAACCGATAGTGTGATATGGCTTAGTGCGATTGTCAAGTTGCACGGGTTGAAATATATTCATTAACAGTTTCAAATTGAGAGCACGTGTCTAAATGAACAGAATACTTCACTCTGAAATCAGCAATGCATATATTTGTATGCTGGCAACTCGGCAAAATAAAAGTCAGATGGGTTAATGTTTAAAAGTAAAGTAACTAATGCACAAATATTAGTATTATAATTTTATGGTTGTACTATAAAATTTAAATATATTTATTAAATACCCAATTTTAACATTTCCATTAAATGCTATTATTACAGTATATTTCTTGTTTTGGTCAATATTTTTATTTAATGATATCACAACAAAAATCATAATAATAGTATTGTTTATAGTCATTTTGAATTAGACAAAAACTGTTTTGGCCTATGAAAACTGAAGTGGAAAGAGATTTTTTTTAAACCATGTTTAATTTCTGGTTAAAGGAAGAGGTTTCGGTTGTTTCTTGTAAACTTAAGTGTGAAATTTTTACATTTTTTCCCCAAATTGTTCAGCCCTTAAAATGATAATATTTGAGAAGTGAGAATTGTGAATGCACTTATTCTATAATGACAAACTTTTTGTTTTGGGGTGAACTATCCCTTCAGAGGTGTGTATGAGACACACACAGGATAGAAGTGAGGAATGAAAGGCATGCTGGTTCCATAGTGCCAGTTCTTTATCATGGTCTTTTTTGCCGTAATTCAGAATAACTTAATACCATTACTGTACAATAATGGCTGCTTTTTATTGTGTGCTCTTTTTGGCTCCATAAATGTTTGATTGACTGAAAGCCACTGTGTTTAAAAAGAAAAAAATACTGTGTTTGTAGTAATGATGACCTACATGATAATAGTGGCATGTCAAGCATTTTAAGTGTATTATCTGATTTATTTATTTATTTATTTATTAGATAAGCATTCCTCTGAAAGACTGAATGCTCTTCACTTTGCTGTGAGAGTGGTCAAGGGTGTGTGACACTGGGTACTGATGTCTGACATTAGCTGAGACATTTTTGTGATACATGTGTATGTTTAGATGCAATGTATGCAGTAAATCATGGTAATTATGTAAAGTGTACTGTTTAATAGGCATTTTTTAAAATGAAAACAGCCTATACATTTTGAGTTTTACACAAAATGAAGATGTGCAAAAGTGCTTGTAGAAGATAGCAGTTTACTTTTTTTTTTTTATCTCCCCTTGTGGTCTGGAGGATACACTCTTGTTAGATCACTGCTGCTGTAGAAAAAAAAACAGATTCCTGTCACATGAGAGATGTTAGAGGACATTTACCTTGACGTTTGATCTAGTTCCGCTTTTTTGTGATGTTCAAGGTATGGAATCGTATTTAAAAAGCAAAAGAGCATCTTACACAAAGTGTTTTCTGATGCCACTAACATTTACTCAAGACAAATATGACACACCCCAGCACAAATGATTAACTTTTTTTTTTTTTTTTTGCTTTGTGTTTAAACATGAGTGTAAATTTTCACTGGTACCTAGATTCATTGTGGGTCAATACTAGTCTGGGACTGAAACAGTAATTCATATTGAGTCTAAACTGAATTTTTGCATTAGTTTATGCAAATTCTGAGATTCTGAGTCTGTTATGCTGAAGTGTTTCTGAAGTGTGGATTACGCCTCAGAAACACATCCACTGAATTTCCTCATGCTTGTTTATGTACATCTGCTTATGAAATGACCATAGGAAGTATCTGCATGCTGAGTACTGTACAAAAGAGTGATCTGTAGATATCAATGCATGACAATAGACAAGAAGCTGTCTAGCACATTAAAACTTCCCTTCAAACTGGCATCAGAGGTGAAGTTGTCAAGGCATTTTTGTATTCTGAATTCTGAGACGAGATATGGATGAAATAAGTGCTCTTGGTTTAAACAGTAACTTATATTTTTAATAGTTTGGTAAGGAATATGTTTGAATGAATTCATTAGGTTCTTGAAGAGTATACATTTTCTACTAATCTGTGAAGCATAGAATTGGGCTGAAGCTGAAGCTAAGAAGCTGATAATGAAAAGTCGGCTTGATTATGACTATAATTTCCCATGCACAGAAGAGATGAAAGCAATTTGATCACATGTATTTGAACAACACAGACATTCAGAACTTGTCTCCTTTGTGTCAGTGATGAAGTGATGTTATAGCGGATGGGATGTGGATAGATTTGCAAGGTTCATGTGTTATGTTACTGTGTAAAGATTTATTTCTAAGAGAACCTCTTTCTCTCTGAGAGCAAAGCACTTATCACTATGATGATTACTCTTATTCTGGGGAACAGCAGCTTTAATAAATGTCACTGAATTGTTATTTATGAAAATGTCATAAATTAAAAAAGATTGAATGTATAAACTGTCATTTTTACATTAAAACATATTTGAAATGTTTATAGATTTTTTTTTAGCTACCGAGCTGAATCAGAAAACTGACAAGCATTGTGCCATAATCTAGTGTATCGAGCTCATTTCATATAGAAGAGCTGTTGTGTTTATTGGAACAAACAGTGCCGATCATAGACTTCTGGGGGCCCTACGCAAAACTGTGTCGGCTGGGGGTGGGGGGGTATGAGTGGTTATGAACGAATGAATGAAACGCATTTGTCCGTGTTTCACTCCGTCTCGAATCGCGCTCACGGAAAGCGCTTGAGAAACAGTGTCTCTTCAGCGGATCGGTATGCTTTCAACTCGTTTTTGTAGTCTCAAGCAATACTGTACGACATTCACATTACATGATTTGACTGATTTTTATGTAGAAAGGGTGACAGCGCACCGCATTAAAATAAATGATCATTCATGTTTTCATAACTGCTGGCCGAATTCGAAACTAAAATTAAATCATCTTTGAGAGCAAGGGGGGCCCCTGGTGTCTCGGGGGCCCTACGCAGCTTGCGTATTTTGCATATAGGGAGGATTGGCTCAGGGAAAAATGTTCCAATTCGGACTGCGTATGATCCCATTCTCTTGATACTCTCCAAAAGTCAGCAAAATTCAGATCAGATGGGAATAATAGTAAGGTGTTTTTACACAAAAATGTTTAATATGTAAAAATGTGGCATATACTGAACATGAAAATAATCAGGCTGATACATTTTCAAATTTAGCAAAATAGACCGGAACCACATTTCCAGATATCTACGTTAAGTCTGGAAAACCAAAGGATTTTTCTCACAGTATATAGTTCCCTTTCGAGCTTTCACAAGACATCTCGGAGGTTTCTCCGCTATGGGAACTCCTTCCCTCCCAACCTTTCCTGAAGTCCTATTGGCTCACGCCAGTCCAATTGACTGGCCAATTGTTGTGAAGTATGCAAATTGCATGCAAATACTAACAAGCTCGAGAGGCAGTATAAAATGCAGTGCACGTGACAATTACGTCAGAATATTCTCCTTCACTTGTTCGCTTCAATACAACCTGAAGAATGGCTTCGTTCTGCAAGACCTGCATGGGACCTATCGAACCGCCAGATCAGCACGACAACTGCGTCGCCTGCCTGGGCTTGGCCCACACTGAGGCCACACTCATCACAGACTTCGTGTCGTTCGGCCGGGAGGAAGAGGATGGAGACTCAATGTCAATTTCGGCCTCGGAGAAAAAGGATTGGGCGGGATCGGAGCATGACTGCCCTGACAGCGAGGGGACTCCAGATCTCCAGGAGGAGCTTGTGAGGGTCATGACGAAAGCTGTCCAGGAGCTTAAGCTTACCTGGAGCCCTCCGGAGGAGCCTGCCAAGAGTAAGCTCGACTCCTGGTATTTTAGATCCTCTCGCCGGCAAGCTGATTCGATGGTGTCTCACCCCTTCTTCCCCGATGTTCACGAACAGCTCATGAAGACGTGGTCTTCGCCCCAATCAGCGCGTGTCCACTCTAACATGCAGGCCATATTCTCACACGTGGACGGGGCGGAGGCTCGCGGTTACATGCGCACTCCCCCCGTCGAGGAATAAAAACGCATACATTCGCACAAAAAGAGCTTTTCCCTCCTCACTCAGTCGATGCGCCGCCGCTCACCCCACCACAGAGCAGTGCAGAGCTGCCACCCGCACCGATTATAGCCGCACAGCACTCGCCGGTGCATCCAACGACCAAGCCGCTAAAACCGCTATGTCAGTTACTGAGCGCGTGGGAAGTTATTCTGGGAATCTCGCGCTGGCTACTTGGTGTGATCGAGCTGGAGAGCGGGTTTTACAGCCACTATTTTGTGGTACCCAAGAAAGATGGGGGACTCCGCCCGATCCTAGATCTCAGGCCTATCAACAGAGCACTTTGCAAGCGTCCGTTCAGGATGATAACACTAAACAGATCCTAGCACAAATTCGCCCCGGGGACTGGTTTGCGTCTGTGGATTTAAAGGACGCATAATTTCACATTCAGATAGCACCGCATCACAGACACTTTCTGAGGTTTGCGTTCGAGGGCACGACGTACCAGTACTCTGTTCTTCCGTTTGGGCTGGCTTTAGCCCTACGCACTTTCTCAAAGTGCATGGATGCAGCACTTTCCCCCCTCAGAGTGAGCGGGATGCGCATTCTCAATCTCAACTATCTGGACGATTGGCTGATTTTAGCTCATTCACGGGACACGCTAGCCAGCCATATAGACACGCTACTTCGTCACTTGGAGTCCCTAAGGCTATGTGTCAACATGCAGAAGAGCATTCTCGCCCAGAGTCAGTCTATAACATATCTGGGGGTGTGTTTCAACTCGGTGGAGATGCGCGCCCGCCTCTCTCGGGAGTGCTTGGCAGCC